TCAGCTTGATTCTGTTTAAATTTCCTTCAAATCTTGTAGTGAGTTATTTTTAATCATCCAGAATACTATTTTCTTCACATAATCTTAGAAGTATTTCTCTAAAGCACTTTTATTTATCAGAATTTTCTGATTGTCTTTAAATAATTTCGAGTTTGTATATTTCTCAAAATTGTTTGTATGATACTATATCATTATTTAATATAATGTCTCATGATGCGTTGACTGCATACATAAGTAAATCGAACACTGATGAAAGCTGATCAAAATCTCTGAACATTATAATAGATCTTCTGCCAAAAGGTACATTTTTGTTTTTAAAAAATGCTTATCTTAATCATACATCAATTAATGCGAACATTTGTCATCTAACCATATTTTTCTCATCAATAATAAAATATATTATATCTTTTAATCTTTTTTGTAGTTGCTTCATCCTATTGGCTCATATCATCTAGTTGCAATAAATTTTTGTAAGCAAATTTTAATTTATTATTAAAAAATAAATATTAATATTTCAAATAATATCTCTTCATTTTTATACTATTTGTAACTTGCAATTTAAATTAATAAAGAGATTTTTAAATTTCAATCACTAATTTGAGAGAAATAGGAATTTAAAATCAATCTATTTCTAATATACTCTGTAAATTTAACATCTAAAATAAATGAATATGATTGGTTAATCTTGCATAGCTCAATCACGTGTAGTTATAATTAGCGTTTTTTAATTAAACTATATTGAGATTAATCTTTTTTTTTTAAATAGCTAATAAAATATTTCTTTTTGTAGGCATCTTCAATTTTGATTTTAAGAGAACTTCAACATCACCTTTTTTTAAATGTTTTATTGAGAGTTTTAACAAAAAAATAACCTGATTTCCAATTTTTATGAAATGCATGATTTGCATACTTTTTTATAAAAAGGGTAAAAAAAATTGAATTTTATAATTTTTACACCTAATAGAACGTTAGTCAAAGCAAAAAAATCATTTAGTACTGTTATCTTTAAAGGATAAGCCAATTATTACTGAAGATTCTCCATTTGAAAAAGATTCTGAAGTATCTTCTGATGATGAAGTTATGTAAGCAGATTCTGAACTTGATAATGAACTCGAAAATACATTAAGAAAGCTGCTTTCTAGTACAAAAAATATCAAACCTTCAAAACGGCCACTTCAATACACAGAAAATATTATCTAAACCTAAAAAAGACGCAAAGCAACTGCAAAGAAAATGGCTATACAAAATGGCAATATTATTACGCAATTTTTTTTCCTGCACAGAACAAACCTGATAGACATGTGGATGATGCTCATTTAAATGAATCAGAAAGTCATGATAATATTGGTATAATCAGTTAATCATCTACGGAATCAAAAATAGAAAATGCTTCTGATGATGAAAATAAATTAAAAAAATTAATTCCTTTCATAAAAAAAACTTCAAGATAAAATTCTATTACCTGAACAAAAATATTGATTAGAAGCTATATTTCAATATTGTCGATGCTGTCAATTGAATATTAAAAAAATGAAAGCCAGTCTTTTTGTTGCATAACAATTGGAAAAAAATAAGTATTTTGCTCATCAACTTTGAAAATAAACTTGTATAGTTTCTGGTGAAAAGAATGGCAGAAACATATTTTGACGGTATGTACAAACTTTATTTTAATGTATATATTTTTTTTTATTATTTATAAGAATAATACTAACAATAATTTTTATATTATTAATTAATATTTGATGTGTTCTCTTTCAGTATTGATACATGCTTTAACCCAACTTGACATGCTCTTGATGCACTGAAGTAATATGGCGTCATCAAGATCATCTCATTCTTGCCAGATTGTATTAAGAAATAAATCGCAGGTAATTTTTTTTTTTTGCTACTAAATACTTAATCTTTTTCTCCACCTTTTCCTTTAATACAGCCCATACATTTTCAATAGGG